ACATGTACCGATTACTGTTCTGTATTTTTAACATGTATACCGATATGACAAACGGGTCATTGAGTAGAGATAGGGAGCATCACGTTTTTCGATAACTATACACGTGGACGGTACAATAAACTCAATTATCTTTTTTTTTTTGTTACATATTTTCCATGCCTTAAGAATACGTTTGCCAAGTGTTGTATTCCTGTTTTTTTTTTTTTTTTTTTTTTCATTAAGAAAATCACATTTATGTTTGAACTTTCATTTTTCTCAAATCGACCCCCAGTGCCTGATAACTTATGTACATCCATGAAATCCTTAGTTTATTTATGTACTGTAATGATTGTAACGATTCTTCGTTTCGATTTGTAAAACAAATTGTAGTTGCATAAACCATCTTGCATGTCTTCAACCGTATCGCATTTTTATTCATTTTCACGCAATAATCCGACGGAAGAAAAATCCGCAACCTCGAGCAAAGCCTAACGAAACAAAAAAAAAAATTGTGAAAATCCGGCTGAGCTCGTGACACTCCAGCCGTCGATGCATTATCGCGACGTGAGTCGCGATAAGTCGCGAGATAAGGTGGCTGTTCGATTCGCTCGGCGAACCGGTTAGAGTATCGGAAATATCGCCTCTAATAACTCGTCGCAGCAGGGAGACAATAAATTTCGCCGTGATGTCGTAAATTATCCTTGGTTCGTCGATAACGCTCGTGACGAAGGTGACGGAGGACAAAAGCCCGTCGTCGGGACACAATACACTTTTATGAGCACGACAGGTTTTCACAATCCAGTGAAAATTTGGACACGGCGAGGTGTTCAAACTAAAAGTCGCGTTAAAACTTCTCAAATAATTCAAACCACTCAAGCCGAACAGGCGACTCGAATACTGTCGATAAAGAACCGACTGTGAAGTTGCCCATGACCCCCCACTTCGTGTTGTTTTGGAAGTTTGAATGTAAACTCCAGGTTGAACACGTAACCTTCTGTTTGAATTGGTAACCTTCTGTTTGAATTGGTAACATTCCGTTGGAACGCCTCAACATGACCAAACTCTCTTTGGACTATTCAAACTCTTCATGGGAAGTCCAAACAGTGTTGAACGGTTTGCGAACCCACCCGCTGCGCGGTGCCGTCGCGCAAACTATGTTGTGTCACTTCACGAGCTTGGCTCACGCTACTTCACGTGAACAAAGAGTGAGAAGATTTGCGACAGAGGGGGGGGGGCGCATCCGGCGGGGATGGAAACTTCATGCGGTGGATTCACATCGACGCGAAAGAGGATTCTACAGTCACGCAGCGATCCTCGGGGCCGTGAGCGCAGGAACGATTTATGACGCGATACGACGGAAAAGACCTTCGTGTCGGCCCGTTAATCCGCCGTATCGGTTGCGATCCACGTGGCTCGCGAGAATTTCCACGGTATTGGCTAATTGATCGGTGTTAAGTCGCGATACTCGTGATACTGTTTTTCTAAGAAGATCGTACCGACTAGACGAATAACCTTCTTATAACAACTTCATTCACTGTCCTCATACTTCTACAGTGGTTGTACCGAAACAGAAGAGTTTCCGTTCTTTTGCCTTCATTGAATCGCCCTAATGATTGACAATAACAGCCGTTTCTTTCTGTTTTTTACCCTTAGAATCATATATCGTGTCTAGGAATCGGATAATAAAGTGGTTGTTACTTCACTGTTTTCGAACTCGATTGTACTAATAGTACTTGAAATTCGTACGTACTGAATTGCAGATACAGAAGAATAGCGAACTAGTATCTTGTCCACTCAATTATAAAAACAATATAATAGTACTTCGACCGCTTACTAATACGTGACGCGCAACAGAAGTGATAAATAATGCTCCACTTCCGTGACAATTATTAATAGAGATCATGTTACCGGATGATGACTTTGATACTGTACTCACAAACGTGTATTCCCGTGGGAGCAGACCACTGGTCACAGGCATGCAGATGATGCAGTTTTTATTTTAATCGTTTGAGTCTCCGTAGTCAGCAATTTCCATAAACGAAACATCAGTAGAATATGTACTCAATACTTATCACTCCTTCTGACGCTCTAGACCAAACGGGATTAAAATTGAACAGCCCAATAATCAGAACAGGCACCAACATTGAAAACCCAATAAACTCAATTTATTAATTTAAAAATTATCGGTCCACCTATCGTTTAATTTTTTTTTCACTTTACCCCGGGTTGCCCTCATACATTGGTCCAAAGTTGATGTCGAAATCGTCTAAATTTTCAAGGGAAGAATCATCCGATTTTCTTCTTTTATTTCCTCAATTTTTATACCGAATCGACAACTTATTAACGCAAACGTCGGGGCTCGTTCTCGTTTTTCGCCAGATGTTGATAACCGCCACGTTATCGCGACTCCACGCACGGTGCACACACTGGGGGGGGGGGGGGGGGGGGGCTTCTTCTCGCCCTGTGAGAAGTCGAGGAGAGATTTCACTTCTCGGCGACATCGAAAGAAAGATACACACACGGGCTGGAGATCCACTCTCCAAGTTGTACACATTTACAAACGCACGTTCTTCCTTTATTTTATTCGCGGGAAATTTAAACGTTGCGCAGAAGATGCCGCAAGTAATGTCATGGAAGACGAAGGTAATCATTATATAACGAAGATTTTCAAACGCAAAAGCGCTCGTTAATTTTACATACTCTTGAGATTTCTGCGACGTCTCTCGATACCTCGAATGGACGAGGACGGAGAATAAATCGGTTCGAGGAAGATAGGGAAAACAACTTCCTCTTTCGATTTCTACCTCCTCGAGAGATAAGCATCGTCGTCACTGGGCACCGGGCCCAGTGTTGCGAAAGTCCGCCGTATAAGAAGGACTTTTCCTCGTGAAGCTCTTTTCTAATCACGTGGAAATAATATGATATCGTCGTATTTTTATAAGTCTAGCTGGAAAGAGAAAGCCTGTGTTCCGGAAGAATTGTTAAACATTTTATTGGAGACGACGCGGGTACGTTGGTAGTTCTTGAAGGCTGAAAGGGAAGATGGATCGTTATTGCGTGTGAAATTCATCTGTTTGCAACTCAGACGGTTAAACCCTGAAATCATTGGCTTAACGCTTTACGAAACGATCAGCGATTAGTATAAAGTACTTAATTGCACGGTAGCCTAAAGTATCAACATGTAATTTCGACATTTCGCTTGGTTATTCCTGAGTTTTTCTAGAATTATAAAGAATTTTCGTCTCGTGTAAGCATTTTGATACTTTGTTCGTTAGATTAGTATTTTATTGTTCTTGTCTTGCGGTCGAAGGTCGATCCGACGAAAAATTTATATCGTAACTGCCACTTGGGAATTAAGTCCTTGGAACTGGAAGAATCGGAATATTTTATCGTTAACCGATTAGAATATCATAGGATTCACGCATTTCGAGAATTCGATATACTCGCTCTTCGGTGTACAGTTTAAATGGACATCCATTATTATTTACAGTTTCATACAGGTGGCTAGTTAACCTGACTTTATTCTGTCCTAGTAAAAGTTATATAACGTGAAATTAACGAACATTAAATTTTTGATACGAACTAACAATTAATTTATGATTTTTATACTTACTGTACTTTATTAAACATCCCTAACCAGCCTTACGATAAGTCCAACTAGCAAGCCTAGAACGAAACGCTCCTCTTCCTTTTTCATAACCTTCATTTAAAGCCGTCACACAATAGTAAGCTGCTGCACCACCTGGCGGTGAGAGAATGAAACGAATCTTTAGAAAATACGGATATGATGTGGATGATCGTGCGTGGACTTCAAAGTTAGATGTCGTTCGAACCAATTTTTCACCCAAAGAGGTTAACGAACCAGTGAACCGAACTTTTGGAAGATATTGTACGCTACTCAATGTCCACCACTTCAATGAATTACAGCTGATCTTCTCAAACGATTTTATCGCTCGCGAACATATCCTCGTTACGGGCACGCAGCTGTTTGAACGTCGCGAGTCGTTATCTACAAAGAGGAATAAACGTAAGAAAATTTTCCGCCGTCGTTTAAAAGTTTCTCAGCCGGATCTTGTTTCTGTATTCGATGCTCGCGCGCTACCGGTCGCGTTGAATATTTATTGTTCGAGTGTTTCGGCGGTAAGGCCACCGGCTCCGAAGAAATCTAATCCTTACTCGAGCATACCGAGGACAACGACCACATAAAAATTTGCGTATGCCGTTGTTACTCGTCGAATCCTTGAAAGATATAAGGTTAGAGCGTTGCCTTCGGTGGCCGCGAAATAGTTCGACAAACGCGCGGCATATTAATCGCGCTAGCAAAGATTTAACTTCCAGAACCGTGTTGAACAGATATAACCAATAATATTCGGTGTACCCAATAGGTGATTCATTATTTCTCGGGGTGTCGAAGTTCTCGTGTCAGCGAAATGTCTGGAACATTTTACAATTCAAAATACGCAAGGGACCTCGAGTTTCCCAACCACGGTTGTTTAGCAAACGGAAAATCTGTTTCTTCTTAACGTACCACCAGGGCCCGATAACGTATCTATCAATGGGTGTTCCCCTGAATGAAATAATCGATATTTAGGAGACGGAGCGGGGGCGATTTCATACTATCGCGTCGTGAAGTCTTCAAGAAAGACGCGTCATCGTAGATACGAGTAAAGTACATACATTACATAGGGTATATCCGTAATGATCGCGTAATCGGGCATAAAGTGTGATTCTTCACACTACCACAAGTTTTCCTTCTATATGTATAAATATTTTCCTCGCCTCTTCACCGGTTTGTATCGTGCTGATGCAACAAAGACAGATCACTGTTAGTCCGAAGTGGACAAACAGGTGTAAACGCATTCTCATGAGTAAGCCTCGCTAAGTTGCTCTTATGTGGATACACGTGGCGAATGAATTATAAACTTTAATCCCTTTTCATTTTAATTTTTAACCTACTGAAACTCCGTCGATATAGGAAATAAAATTCCTCGCGTCTCACGCTTTCCGTTTTCTTCTTCCAGGGACAGAGAGATGTCCTCAGAAGGGTGTCGTGAAGCAGGTGGCTTCGAAGCTGGTAAGGGCGCTGTCCGAGAAAGGACTGGCCTTGCTCGTCAACCACGGCATTCCGGAATGCAAGGTACGCATTTCCTTCGATACCCGTTCCGTGTATACTCGTCGGATCGAAGATCGCGAGAGGCCTGTGTATCTGCGCGTCCTTGACGACCGGCGTAATTCTATTCAGCAGAGAAAGCAATAACGTTTCGTTCCATGTACCAGTTTGCTTTTCCTCGAACTGATCAACAGAATCGAGTCCGCGGGATGACTTCGAACGGTGGAAAAATACACGAACCGGTGACGTTAAATTGTATATATATATATATTTTTTTTTTTTTTTGTAAATTACATGCGAAGAAAGTTTCGGTTCTGTGAACCCTCCCGACACGATCGAGGTCGGCGATCGATTATAATACTCGAGCAATCGAATACAGTCGACGGATACCAAACGCTGAATACAGTCATAAATAAAACAGAAACTGAATATCTAAGAATAATCAATAAATTAATACCAAACTTCAACATTCAAAATTAGCGCACAAAATTACAAACAAGTTCCTACGGAACTATTAAGATGGCGCCCCTAAATGACCAGAAACAGGGTACGATCCGCTCTGCAGAAGCTCGCCTAGCGTTCCCAAAAGACCAGAAGCGAGGTACAATCCGCTCGACAGACAGGGCTCGTTTATCAAGCATAAATAAGTATTCTCCGTATCGTGTATAACTCGATCGTGTTACATACAGAGTACGGCCTCGGCTTGTAACGAAACTCGTGGTGTCCTCGGCTGCATTACAAAATTACCGTGCCGCGCGCGGAACCAGAATTAAAGGAGTCAAGGCGACAGAGACATGCGGCGTGGCACAGAACGAAAATCGTGCGGTTTCGAGGACGATTATAAAAAAGCGTGCCCCAACTAGAACGACGCGGAGGGAGTAGTCGGTGGAACTCGATTCGCGGTTTTTACGGGGCATTGCGGCGAGTTTTTAAACCCTTTATCGAGTATACTTGTCGTGAGGAAAAATAGAATACTTTTTGCCATAAAACTAGAAATTTGATTAAATATTGAAAAATATATTTCTTTCATAGAATAAGGCAATGAAATGGCTACACATTTCCAAAAAAAAAAAACTTCCACCGTTAAAGGGTATTGAGGTTAAGTTTTCTGCCATGTAGATACAAGGTGTTGTGAATTCCGCAATGACCTTGTCCAGAGCTCGAGCCCCCCTATCGTTAAAGAAAGCGCGTTATCGTCGGCGGTTTGTCACATTTTCACGAGATTATTTGTTCGAGGGTCACGACGCGCGCCGCCTCGATGCATCATAAATATTGTTTATCATGCATCTTCACGGTACGCACGCGCAAGTGTAACGCGTGAATTCCCTTGGTATGTGCACGATTACGCGTGTTGCATTCAATGACCGATATTCCGGGAGGGGAAACACGCGGAAAGGCCGAACCGGGTTGATTTCCGGGGGAAATTGGTCTCGATTCCCTACTGGAAATAGTACTAGGATCGACTACACGTGGTCGTAAGGGAGCTCGTCGAACAAACTCTCTTCACTGTAAATAGGATAATGAATTGTCCTATATCATGCGAATACCTTTCGAAATACAGTAGTTCCCCGTTTCGAAGTGGACGGGTTCAGATTTGTAGAGACCTAGAAGGCAATCTAAATATTTAATTCCTACGGTTTTTTTTATAGCGACTTTTACAAAGGATCCTCAACGAAGGATGGAGTCCCCCTGCGTATAACCTAACCTAGTCATCCGGGCGGTTCCGCGTGTAACTCCGGGAATTATCGTTCGTGCGCTTGTAATTCTTATCGAATATTACGTAAGGGGATTGTACATACAGCGGGCAGACGACGTTACGGCACAGATAATTACCAAGGAACCCCGGCTGTTGTTCATCATTTCCCAACTATCCGCCACCTTCGCCGCAGCGTCGTTTTTCGAACGGTTGCGCTCCACTCGCGCTGCAAACCGTCGCGCGTGCATATGTACGTGTATACGGCTAGATGAATCAATTGGCTGAAACGAACCGTCGCTTTTAATTGTCTCTCGACCCGAATCCAATTAAGAATACCGCTTATGGGGGGGGGGGGGTCCAAAGACGGTGGACTGATCAACCAACCGTTTCCTAGGAAGTTGTACCTAGTTTCTCGGTATTTTGACGGTGAATATGTTTAGGGACATTGCTCTTGGGACGCAATAGACATCGATTATTACTTGACACATCGGCGATCGAATACGAGAAATTTTATTCTCTGGCGCGCATATTTTTTAACGATTATTACCTAGATAACGGTATTTTTTTGCGCTGATCATCAAGGATATCCTGCGGCTATTCGTGGTAAAAAATCCACCAGATGGAATATCATTGAATTAACGATGATTTTCGGATGTTTGTGCGTTGCTTCGTTTGTAATTCCAATCGAACGCGGTTTTTCTATTTGTTTTCTATTTGCCTAATGTAGCCAGGAAGCATTAAAACGGAATCAATGATTACACCGAATTTCAATCGAATCCAGCGCCACTGTCGCTGGACGAGTATCTTTGTTCAGATCGAAATCAGAAGACGTTCGAGATTCGACGGGTTCCCGACAAAATTTATCGCGAAATTCGTTATGTGTGTTTCGTGTTCCGCGGTCGATTTCGCAACTGGTTTGTCCCGGCGAGCCGATAACGAAAGCGGCCACACATCATCGCAATGACAAATTCGAAACGTCACTACTTATCGGCGGCTCGAGGATGTCACCTGCCCCAAGGTGACATATTTCTGATACCGTGTGGAGAGCTTAATTACATAATGATTCTGATTCAATTGCGAGCGCATTTAAGTTGTCCCGTAATTGCAGCCTTAATTTGCGCCGTTCGTCATTATTAAGGGAAAAACAACAAAATCACTTCCAGATGGAACACTTGCATACAGGGTGTCCAACTAGAATTACAAACGCTTCAGTTGTTTTTCGATGTTACTCGAAAAAAAAAGGACTAAAATGAAGTTATACGGTTGAAGGGAATTCTTTTGAACCATGAAACCCTATGGACATAACCCTTCTTATCCATTTTTTTTTATATCTCCGGTGGTACTGGAAGTGACTTACAAGTTCATTATTAGCGGGACACCCTGTATGTTTTCTAAATATAGAAGCTTAACATTCTTTTCGCGATAATGTGTTACAAAATCAAACGGATAAAAGGATTGCTTCATCCCTCGAAGAACCAACACGTAAGACGCGATAAATCATTCTTATTGTCCGTCGGTACAGACACAATGAGAAGCCGTAAACATTACCTTGAATCGACAACGTAAACTGATCATTTTCGAACAATTCAGTAGCTTTATCATATTCTTTCGAAACGGATAAGTGGACGTAGGAAGAAAGAGAAAAGGAGATGGAAAAGTAAACTCTCGGTTAATATTATTTTCGTGTCTATTCGCAGATGAAGGCCGCTTACAGGGCTCTCGACGCGTTCTGCGAGCTACCAGATGAAACCAGGGCCAAGTACGCGCGGGACCCGTCTGGCAATCATGGCTACATAAAACCTGGACCATCCACGTAATTATTTACCCTCTGGTTTTATTTACTTACCGAGGAATTGAGAAATAGGAACAACCATTAACGAGAAACCATTGTGTCACCAATGATTTAACTCTCGCGAACGAGTTACGATCAAACAAAAAGACTCGCAACAGACAAAAAAAATGACGGATAATTTCGTTCATTTCACTTGTCGCTAATTCCATTGGGAATCGTGCCAATCAAAATTCAAACGAACTACTAATGGTGAATACAGTGAACAAGGTAAACGAAAAATTGTAGAAGAGACATCCAAGTTCAACGATCCCCAATTAGATTTTAAATCCCTGATCATATATCGTGATGTTACCAGGACACTAAATCTTTCACGGAATATTCAAATTCATTTACAAGAATTCGTAAAATTTTTCATTTTCCTAGAAATCGATATTTCTGTTCATTCGCTAAATACACATCCGTCTAACCTCAAGAGAGAGAGGGTTTAAGGAATCGATTTCTATGGGTAATCGAAGTCACCGAGCGTTTCTTCGATTTTCAGGTACACGGACGAAAAGGAGGCCAGACATGTTTTCAATGTGTCCGGAACCGGAGAAGTCGTCCCGGAGGAGGAAGTGCCCGGTTTCCGATCGGCGGTCGACGAACTCGCGCGGGACTTCAAGCAGCTGTCCGCCATGCTTTTGACCGTAATAAACAATTCCCTTTTTAAAAGTTGAAAGAGTGACGAGGGGGGAAACGATGATCTAACGATCTTGTTGTGTTAACACAGAGTGAACGGGCTTCTCGGTCGACGCAACATTTTTTTTTTTTTTTTTTTTTTTTTTTTTTTTTCTCCATGGAAATCTGTGAGAAGAAAGCTTTTCGTCTTCCGGGCCGTTTAGAGGACGCATAAATATTTAATGATCGTCTGGCTTTTGCGTCGAACTGTTGAACTTCTTCGAAACAGTTCGAAGATCCGTGATCTCTTTTTAAAGCAGAAAATCGTCTGGATGATGTTTGTTGTGTTAACAGTACCGGTGAAATGTGCCCACCATCATACGATTTATAGTTTAGTCTGGGTAGCAATGCTAATGTCCAATATTGTAATTATTACTGTGTTATACTAGAGGTGCTAGTTTATAGTTCTTCGAGTGTGTAGAATAAATTTGCAACGGTGTTGCTATCTGAAGTCTAGGGACTGTTCTTGTGGAGCTTTCCTGTGAGATTATTTCACGTAATTTTGGTACTGTGAAACTTTCGAAAATAAATGTAACGGTGTTGAACTGCAAATGGTTATTATACGATCTATTGCATTGCAAAGAAAACAGTTTCATTGAATATGATTCAAGTTTATATTTCAACGAGTTTACTTGATCGGCAAAAACTGCATCACTTTGTGCTGTATAATGTAGAATTGTAATGTAACTGAGTCACCCGTGTTTTATGATAATAAAGCATTGCCGTAGCGATTATAGCCTTTACGTTTAACTGAACGACTATAGGTGTATTCTCAATTAGGTTCTGTGGAGGCTCCTAAGTCTTTATCTGTCCAAGATCTTTTCATTAATTAGAAAACTTGGTCTCACACTTTCACCGGTAGTGTAACTACAATAACGTTCTATGAGACAATAAAATTCCATAAAGCAATCGATCTAATCAATCGAACAGATTTGACAACAATTACGATTTCCTACCATTTTCTAAAACCGAAAGATCAAATCACATGGTACTTTAACTATTTAAAAATATTTTTTGTACGTATAATTGTTCTCGTCAACGCTTTCGTTGATTGGGGAGGTTTTAGGAATGTCGATTTGACAAAAAGACACAGTTCTAACTGTAAGTAACACTACAGACCAATCCGTCTGGCAGGCGAATTAACGTGATTGGTTTCTTCGGTTGCTTTACAGCCGTCATTAGGTACTATAAAGTAAAAAAAAATAGGGGCCAATGTATGTGATGTATGCCTTATAGGCTCTGGCCGTGGGCCTAGAGCAATCACCTGACTTCCTGCTCACGAAGCATTCGCGAATGCTGGAAACTGGTAACGAGTCCATCCTTCGTCTACTTTATTATCCACCCCTTGGCGCACCAGTGCCAGGACTGGCTCGTTGTGGCGCTCACTGCGACTACGGCACTCTCACCTTACTAGCGCAGGTAATAAACCAATTCGCGGGAACATTTATAAATGGTAGTTTTTTTTTTTATAGATATAAATCACTCGCAAGATACAATATATTCATATTAACCCGATAATTACTATCAAATCAAACGACATTTTATTTGCAATATTACGAAAGAATATTGGACATTATTTTCAGGATTGTGAAGGAGGTCTGGAAATACAAACGCCATACGGTGAACGGTGGGGACGTGTCGGTCATCTTCCGGGCGCCATTTTGGTGAACACCGGCGACATCTTGGCGAGCTGGACTAATAATCAACTCCCAGCGTTGCGACACCGTGTCGTTGTACCGGAACACTGTGGACGAGGTCGTCATTCCATCGCCTACTTCGTGCACCCAGACGACAATACTCTTATCGAACCCTTGGACACCAAAATCACGAAACCGAATCAGGAACCAGCGCCGTGTCGTTTGCAGAAAAAGAAACGAGGAGTACTGACAGCGTACCAACACCTGCAACGTCGTCTCCGAGAAACTTATGCTTCTTAATGCTGTTAACACAATTATAACCATTTTTCCCCTCTCCCATTCCCTAGAACCAAAATGGTCCTAGTATCATTTGTCATTAATCATCGAAAACGAAACGCACGCGGCAATGGACGAATTTATCAGATTCTAATGATGTTCGTCTGACAATGAAAATTGGTACCAGAAGAAGAACGGGTAAGATCGTCCATTCCTTCTAAAACGGATGTAGTCCATACCGTTCCGAACGAGGCAGAATTCCATTGGTGACATTTAAGAACTGCGATATGTTGCATCACAATGGCTATTAATAAAGAAATTTGTACTTACACTTTGTAAAAAGGCATTTTACACGAGTTGGTTTAGCTTTCCCGAGTATAAGGAAGAAAATAGGCTTTTTCTTTTGTATTTTATATTTAAGAGACATTATTTTGTAATCTTTTAAACAACAATATTCAGCTTAGAATCCGGGATCCCAGCTGATCGACTGAGTCGTAGACACTAATTTGAAACAGACCAGAGTGTCCCCTGGTTTGAATGACACAGTCGGATTGTCAAGTGTGAGACCGCACTCGATGTTTACTTTTATCTCCGTCACTTCGTCTTTCAAGTGTCTCATTGACACCAATTTTCCTGCGAGAAAAGTATTCAGATGTTATTTAGACTTCCAGACTGTACTATGCAAGTATTACTTTGATGTTCACTGAGAAATCAAGAGAAGCGAAGAATAAACATGATATTTGATATAGTAGAAAGCGAGGTTGTTTGTCTTCCTTTGAGACTGTACAAATTTTATATATCAATCAAGGCTTCATGTAAATATTAGGTTGTCCGGCGATTAAACGCGCATATCGTTATATTGTACCAATTGTTTGATTAATAATATTCTTAATCATGAAACTTCAGTCTTTCTATGATTGTAACTAAATACGAAGTTAAACTCCCGATAACCTAATCTTATACTAGTATAATTTATTTACCTCTATAAATAACTTCTTTTCCCCTAACTAATTTATACAATGCTGATTTTTGAAGGACACCTTTTACGCACCGGGAACCTGCAACATTAACTTTCTTCTTTCCTTCAGTGATTTGGAACTGTTGCTGTACACTAGCTTCACCTTATTTAGACAAAAAAAAAAGTAATCGATGACATCGTCATTCGTGTAAAGGAATGATTAGTTCTTGATACACGTAAACAGTACCTAATACTTCTTCAACATCGATTTCAGGTAATTGTCTATTGATCTCATTTTTCACATCATCCACAAATTTATATATCACACGATACTGTCTAACTGATATTTGTTTTTCATCTGCTTCTTCTTTTAATTTACTAGGTATATCTACATTAAAACCACAGACAATGCCTGAAAATATAGAAACAGTACGAAATAATTGATCACAGTACTTTTCTGAAATAGTGCGAGACTTTTCTGAAACAAGCATATTACCATGAAATATATCAGCTAACTCTAAGTCAGTCTCGTTGATATTCCCAACGTTATGATGGACAACGTTTAATTTACACAAATTGTCCTCTTTATACGTATCAAGAATATCCAATATTGCTTCGACACTGCCCGCCACATCACCTTTAATCACAAGATTGACCGCAGGAACAGTTGTCTTCTTAGTGTCAGTAGTCGGTTGCATCATCTTGCTTTTAACTACCGGATGTAATCTTCCAAATTGTTTCTTCAGGTCCAGTATGGCTTTATATTGCTGTTACAAGAACCACGTAAAGCTGAGTTTTAGAAGTACCTAATTGTTGACTGAAATATGGACCAATTATAATGTTAAAATGTATTACCGCAAGATGTTCCGCATACTTTACGTCAGCCCCCTTTTGCTGCTCCTGAGCTAAAGATACATTGCGTTCAGCATTTCTATATTTTAGAACCATTTGTAGGATTTTCTCATTTTCCACTTGTAATATCTCATCCCCAACATTGGGCAGTTCTCTCCAACCAATAATTTGTACAGCCTCCGATGGTTTTGCTTCCAAAACTGGCTGACCAATTTCATTAAACATGGCTCTAACCTTGGCCCATGCTAATCCTGATACTGTTGGAGAAAAATAAGGCAACTAAAATTATGTCATCAAATCTTCCACGAAAGAGTACAACGTTAATTAATTTTTACCTAGCAAACACCCCTTCTTCAAAGTTCCACGCTTAATTAAAGCTGTTACTAATTTTCCACGACCTATGTGATTAGTACATTCAATTGCGACACTTTCCACTAATCCAACAGGGTCTCCTTTCAAATTCATTATTTCGGCCTGTAAAGCTATGGCAGAAGTTAAATCTTCTAAATTGGTTCCCTTCAAAGCAGATATGTTAATGGACTGCACGTCGCCACCAAGATCCTCGACTACAATACCGTTCTCTGCGAGCATAGTTTGCGTTCGTTTCTGAAACAAAAACAGGCGAATATAATGTTTCCAAGTCTCAATTCGCCACATTTTTAACGTGCCTTTACATTAGCAATAAGTTACAATGTCAGCATTGGGTTTGTCGATTTTGTTGATCGCCACAATAATTGGAACATTCGCATCTCTTGCCATTTCTATACTCTGCAAGGTTTGTTCTTTAACTCCGTCATCGGCTGCCACTACTAATACTACAATGTCGGTTACGTGTGCACCTCTATATCGCATAGAGGAAAAGGCGGCATGGCCAGGAGTGTCTAAAAACGTTACTCGTTCTCCGGACTTTAACGTTACTAAAATCATAACAACGTTCAAAAATATGGCTCTTCATTGTAAATGTTAAAGCATATCCAGTTTCTAATGCTGTAAGTCATTAAACTATACGTAACTTTAATTGAAAATTCGAGAAACTCTATTAATGTAATTAATACTTTTAGGTGTTCTTTTTAATACTCACCATCAAAGGCACCTATATGCTGTGTAATTCCACCAAATTCTGTATCTACAACTGACGTATGGCGCAAGGAATCCAGCAGAGTAGTTTTTCCATGATCGACGTGTCCCATGATTGTTACCACTGGATGTCGTTTTACTAATACCGATTCATCGGGTGGAGGGCTAGACAGAATTAGATATTGTGGGAAAAGAATACATAATATTAGATTTACAAAAAAAACATTACATTTCCATTACCTTTTAGTGAGATCCACGTACGTTACCGGTTTCACTTTTACCGTATCTGGTTTTGCAACACGTTTAACTACACTACCTAGCTTTTTTACAATGTCATGTATTACGGTAAAATTTGACAAAACAGTCGTCGGTTCACAGACTGTGGTCACTCTTATGTCGAGAACACTAACAATATCGTTAACATCCCTTTTGGCAGAGGCTGCTAATTCTCCTACAGTCATATCCGTCCATACTTCTACCACAGGAAGAATATTCTTCTGTTTTGGAGTCTGAGTGAATACTTTTCCAATTTCTCCCTTTTTATATAATGCACCTAGTTGCTAAAAATAATTTATTATCTTGCACAAAGTTCAAATATAATTAATTACAAAGTATAAACTCTTTGTGCAAGCAGTGTAATGTGCTTGTAAATCGACAGCTAGTTTTAGCTGCTGGAACCGAAAAAATTGACAGAAACATAAGGTGGAAAGGATCTTACAGTATCATATGAACTATGTTAACTTTGATCTAATTTGGTACTTCCTCTGTTTCAATTCAATACCACTGGTTACTTAAACACAGTGGTAAGAATCACAATGCAAACACTAATAAAAGTTAATTAAAACACGCAGTTTTTTTGTCATCAGAAGAATTTCTGACATATACCAGTACTATTTTTTACAGTATTAAATTCCATTTGTCAACTGTTTATTTTACAAGAGCACTATATTGCTTCCACCAAGAATAGTTAAATACATTGATATTATACACGCTGCTTCTTAGATTCTCTTTTCTTAAAATATGTTGGAGTACGATGGTAACATTGGTGTTGTATATGTAACATATAGTAGGGCTGTAAAATATGGTTTGCAGTATGTTTACGCCGAATATCTGTCCATAGTTGCCTCAATGATCTGTAAAAAAAATTTATAAATCTTGACATCATTTATCAATAGACAGAAAAATTAAGCAGTGATGTTATTCATTAATTGTTCAAAAAATAAATCATTTTAAAGCAGAAAATGATTGAGAGATTTTGATCAAACTTCAATGTTAATGTCTACAATTACATTAATATTTACTTGTAAACTAGGTTATGTTTATTGTAAAATATAATCATTAAGTTTGCAATGAATTTACATGGAAACAAAGTTATTTAGATATCTGCAATTGACAGACTAAACAGCAAAAATCAATTTTGAAAACACTTATATGAAACTAACTTGAATTGTACATGTAACCTAACCATGGAAGCAGCCATATTTGCTACTTTGTCAATTGCAACAAAAAATGAACTGTAACTAGGGTTGAATCCCGGTATCGAAACAAAAGTAACGATACCTACTTGTATCGAATAATATTTTCCTAACCTTGACACCTAACATAAACGTTGTTTATGCATTAAGAGAGAATAAAATACAATACTCTGTACTTTATATATTTAAATATTTAATATAAAATATAAAACATATAAACATAAACGTATGTATAAACAATATACGATATACGTATTATAAGAATCCATGAGAAATAAATATGTATGTACATCATTTATACACGAGGTCTCTTACGTATCCCCGGGGGCTCCATGACCCCACGTTTTCAACAGACGGGGTCTCTGGCGCCTACACCGGGGGCTCCATGACCCCACACTTTCCCAACACGGGACTCCGGCGCCGCCTGTGGGGATTATGTGACCCCACGTCTGCAACACACGGGGTCTCTGACGCCGCCACCGGGGCTCCACGACCCCACGTTCTCACCCGACGGGGTTCCTATCGCCACCCACCGGGGGCTCCATGACCCCACGTTCTCAACAAACGGGGTCTCTGGCGCCACCTGTGGGGGGTTATGTAACCCCACCTACTCAACACACGGTGTCCTTGGCGCCTCCACCGGGGGCTCCATGACCCCACGTCTCGCCACACGGGGTCTCCGGCGTCACCTGTGGGGTTTATGTGACCCCACGTTCTTAACAGACGGGGTCTCTGGCTTACTACAAAAACTAACTACTGCCTACTAGAGATGGCGTGCAAAATCACTAACGGTGATTTATCACAGTGATCGCCGAATCACGATCACGATAGTGATTTAACTTCATTCACGATCGTGATTGCGATTTTTTTATCTTGAGTGAATTTGCTCACTGCAATCGTAAGTCATTAATCTTTAATCAGAAAAACGTATTCAATATGATTTTACGATGAATTACATTACTGTGTTTGTAAAAATCAGTAGAAAAAACAAGAAATTCTAAAAGAATGATTTGCTAGGTAACATGTAGATTATAATTTATAATCATTAATTTATTCATTATTCTTCATTGTTTCTAATTATTCTTTCACTTTATACGATATAACTCGAATTTTTGTTTTGATGTCGTTAATATAAAATATAAAATATACAGATTATGTGTCGCGTGTAAAGAACTGTTAGGTTTCTCCACCAATCAGAAACGATCACGAGAAATCACGAATCACTGTGAAAAATTACCGTGATTGAGAACGAACGTGATCGAATCACGAGTGATTCACAAGTAGCAGTTCACATCATCTCTAGTGAGAACGTGAGTTCACGGAGCCCCCGGTGGAGGCGCCATAGACCCTGCACGGTGAGAGCGTGGGGTCACGGAGGCCCCGGTGGAGGCGCCATTGATCACGTGGGGCGAGAGCGTGGGGTCACGGAGCCCCCAGTGGAGGCGCTAGAGACCCCGTGTGTGTGAGGAAATGAGGGCATAGAACCCCCGGAGCATGCACAATAATTTTGAAACGTGATCCCTTATCATTGTTGCTCGTACGAGTCTCGAGCTCGGTCTAATGTTGCTCGTGCAACTGTTGAAATCTAACTGACACTTGTGCGTGCTTCCGTGAGCAAATTATATAGTAACTCCAGCAACCATGGCAGTTTCTGCAGATACTACTACAGCCCAAGTTTAAAAGACGTAGGCAGTAGTTAGTTTCTGTAGAAACCTGTTGAACCAGACAACTATAATTAGTATAAGATTGTACACTGTTTATGCAGTTATATTTAAGACAACTCGATGAAATGAAGCTTATATTAACTGACGCATGTTTATAGGAATATACATATGTATACATATAAATTCTAATGATATAAAAGTTTGAAATACAATATGATACGGTACGGTATAATACGTCTATTCGAATCAATTTCTCCCTTGCGACTACAAGATCAGTGAGCTAATGCGGAGGCCAATGAAATATCACTGTAACACTTCAAAAAGTTTCAAAGTTCCATTTATATCATTGTCCTGTGAAAATTTTCATACTTCCAACAGCATTCATATACCAATCAAAGAATTTACAGAATAAGGAAAAGGAATCTAAAGTAAT